TGTATGTCCTAATGTATTGTGTCTGTGTTTTTAGTTCTAAAAGCTGAATAACTGCTAGACACTCAAATTTTGAATTGCTAAATAGCTAAAATAATTTTAAAGCTTTCATTTTAGATTAAAATAAATAACATTTTTTTAAGGCATTTTGTACACCACAAGTACACTACCTGTTGTATCCACTCAACTAGTATTACAATAGTAATCTTTTAATGTGTCTTTCCTGATATTTGAACAATTAAAACCTTTTAAAAAATTGGGTGTACAAAGTCCTTTTCTCCTGTATTTTGTCAATAATACTTATGATATAGCCTATTTTCCAGTTTCACATAATAGTGACAAGGGAAGCATTAAAGAGTTTCCCTTTTGTACTTTGGATATCAAGCTTTTCGAAGTTTTATCCAAACACAATTTTTGTTAATTAATAACATGTAACAAGGGAAGTACAGTGTCCTTCAGGGTAACATTCTGTACAAACAGCCCTACTGTACAGCAGATCATGTAAAGAAGTGGGAAATTGCTTCACCACTTAATTAAGGAGGAACTTCTGTGGTTATTATTTCAACTTTTTTGTCTAAAACAAACCTGCTTTTGTGTCTATTCATGCAACTGGACGTTTCACTAGAATAATATGAGTGAAGTACCATGTTCAAGCATATCACAGCAGTGTCTCACCCAGGACTTGAACCGACAACCTCCTATAGCAGCTGCTATTGAAAAAGATCCGAACATAGAGATGCATACCTTTCTGTGCTCGTTTTGGACTGAACAAGCTAGAAATGTCCTCCCGCATTGGAGAATGTTACTTCAACTTATTTTGTGTGGATACTGAAAACCATAAAGACTGTAATTTTGTGACCATTAAGCAGTCTAAATGTTGGTACTGACCTCAGTCAATATCGTGAGAGGAAAAAATACCCTTGAGATATAAATCCTGAAAAGTATGGGATGATAAAATATAAGTCAAGAACCTGGATACAATCACTGAAAAGGTTTCACTTTTTCTAGCCATCTACGCTTTATCCAGCTAAGATCCCAGTAAATGTCTATTTTACATGATAATGTTGTTCTGAGATCTGATGTGTAGAGACACAGTATTCAATATTGTGACACAATAATTACCTTAAGCCTCTCTACACGATGCTATTTACATCTGCACTGAATATAGCAATGACGTTTCCCAGCTACCTCACACCCATAGAAAACCTGTAAGAAATGAATTACACAGTAGCAATGTATGGAGGTAATTCTATTCAAGCAACACATAATGGTTCATTGGGCAAGAGATTATCCTTGTTTTTAGGCATGAAGCAATCAGAGAGCACATGACTCACCACTCCGGGTGCCAGTCCATCACAGGACCTATCACCAGTGCTGGTTCTCATTTATACAGTTGGGTGAACTTGAGCAACTGGGGTAGAATACCTCAATCAGGTCATAAAAGCAGTGTCTACTGCAATGATTCAAACCCACAAAGCACTGGTCACAAGTCCAGAGATTCACTATTCAATTGGAATCACTTACAATTCATTTTACTACAACTTCTAGTAAATACTTCTAGGCGAGTATAGATGTTTCCAGATACTTTAAAATTTATTTTTCTTTAATAATATATTTTAATTCAAGGAGAGTCAGGGGATACATAAGATGAAACCAGAGGCTCAACTTGGTGTGAACCGAATGGCTTGCATTTGGGGAATAATAAAAAAGAGAAAGGAGTACTGGCTCTTTAAAAACCTGTTGGATTCTGGTCCCCCTGGCCCAGAGCTGAGAAGTCCTGCTGCAGTACAAGAAGGTCAAAGGTTACAGGGCCAAGTGGAGCCAATCACCAAAGAAGGACTGACCTAACTTAATGTTCAACTTAATGTTCAGCTAAAAGTTCAGCTTTTTTTACCAGCTGGGGTCACCACCCTGTTAGATGACTGAATAATTGCCCATGCAAAGCCACATTCTCAGGCCTGCTCATTCATTCAGTCCAGTCCCTCCGTTTTCTACTTTACAGCCAAAGTAAATACCTAAGGCACTCAGTGAAGGGCAGCAGCTAGCCCTGCTGCAGAAAGACATGCTTTAAATTGCACAATTAGGTGCTGATGTGTCTATAATCTTCCAGCTGCTTTTAATTAAAACTAAGTGACACTCTCTTAAACTATCCAACAATAACAAGATGGGTTTCATAATGGCTTGGCTTTGCTCAAAGCTTTAAAACCCTAACAGAAATAGTTAGGTCATAATAACTTTGATGGGAAAGAGGGCAGAAAGGTTACTATACTCAGAGAAATGCTGTTCACAAATTGTTACATTTGGGATGGAGAATGTATGCATTAAATAAACACCAAATAACAGAATCTGAAAGTTACTTAAGCAAATACATCTGGTAGTAAACATGCCTTTAGGATCCTTCATTCAAGCTTTGGAATCTTGCATCATTTGATTGGTTGGAAAGTGTAATAAATGCTTCAGGCATCTGTGTTTTGACACACAAAGGAGGCATATAAAAAGTGGTCTCATAAACTATCCTTATTTAAATCTGCATTTTCTCAGTTAAGTGCCTCATTGTCAGTAATCAGATTCTACCCTTCCGCTTATCAATATTGCTTTACAGGACGTTGCTTTTCTTAATTAAATGGCTTGTAAGTGTTATTAGAGCAGTGTCTGCACTTCTGATCACTTTGTAATAGTAATGACGGAGTAAAGAGCTCAGAAGATAGATACATGTGCTCAAGGCAGATCTGTTACAGTCAATCTGCTGTACTAGTAATTTATATTGAACACATACAGTTTCAAGCAATGGCACTGAACCCTGTGTCTGAAACTTGGCTGTGCACTAATTGTTAGTGCAATAAAGACTGCTTGAATACACTAGTAAGTGATATCTCTTTAAGCCATAAAAACTCTCATCCAAGTGAGACACAGTTTACATATCATAAAGAATGACCTAATCCGAGATACAGGATGTCAATAGTTGTGCTTGCACTCATAAGGGATTATAGTTTGGATGCTACACTTTAAAAATGATATTTGCATTCTCAAGTAATAACTACCCCCAGTTCGGAGAATTGTTTAGGAGGGTTTTGCGGAGTCAGGCTAAGAAGCTTTGGCTTAACACACTTGACTGAGTGTCAACCACCCAGCTTTGGGGCAAAAACATAAAGATCCCTATTCAAGGGGTGAAGCAAGGTGTGGCTGCACGGGTGGAGATGCACTGGAGGAAAGATGCAGGCAGGCAAGAGAGGGGCTCATTATGGTATTTATAGCAGTTCAGGAAACAGCATCATGGATGATTATGAGTTAGAGCAACCAAGGTGAAGGAGGCTTCGGTTGCTGTCACCCATCCTGAACTTTCATTTAAAAATTCAATTTTTTACTGATAATAATAATAATAATTATAATAATTACTTACTCTTATATAGCACTTTTCTGGACACTCCACTCAAAGCGCTTTACAGGTAATGGGGACTCCCCTCCACCACCACCAGTGTGCAGCCCCCACCTGGATGATGCAACGGCAGCCATAGTGCGCCAGAACGCTCACCACACATCAGCTATCAGTGGAGAGGAGAGCAGAGTAATGAAGCTAATTAATTGATGGGGATTATTAGGAGGCCATGATTGGTAAGGGCCGATGGGAAATTTGGCCAGGACGCTGGGGTTACACCCCTAATCTTTCGAAGAAATGCAGAGAAGTACTTTAATTGAGTATAGTCTGCATAAAAAGACACCCAGGACCATTAACTGAAGTGGTCTGTCTGCAGTGTAGACAAAATAAAGGCCAAGTTGAGTCTGGGCTTTGGCATTATTGAATTGTGAGAAGGATTCCCCAGGCTGTGATGCACATGACGTTGGCGTGTTGGGCATGAGTTTGCAGACATATCCTTGGCTCACCATGCAGCAACAAGGGCTATGATTCGCTAGACATCTGTTAAGAATTATCCTACAGGATCACTGACAGATACACCATGTTTCCAATCAGTTCTAGATCTCTTGTTATGCACAACAAAGCTTGCAACATGTCAGGTGGAATATGATTAAGACAGCAGGTATGTGTGTATGCACAGGTCCCCATTCAGCTGCAGTTCTGGATATAGAGGTCTGCCATATTGATTAGCAGTTGGCAAATCCAAAATAAAATATATTATATTATGTATTCATTATATAATATGTAATATATAATATATAATGTATAATATTATATTAATCATTTGTACATAAAAGTCACTTTTAGTTTCAGTCTCGTAATTGTCAGTGTTCACCAATAGCTTGACAAAAGGATAGCAATGGCTTGGCACAGACTGCAGAGACCGCTGCTGTGGTGCTGGTATGATGGCCTATTTCATTTGCAAAGCAGCTGCCAGAATGTGCATGTGACACTGTGCAGTGCAGTTACCATAGAGAACAACCAGCAGCTACCACAGAGAACAGCCAATAGTTACCCCCCACCTCCGACTCACCTACTGTATTCAGACTAAAACCAGAATGACACTCTTCCCTTCCTCGAGCCTTGGGAACCTTTCACACTTTCAGCTGCATTCATGTTCTCTACTGTCACCACACAGGGCTAGGGTCTCAATAGAAACTGTAGGTACTAAACAGACCAATGAAATGGCTCTGTAACTTAAAAAAAATGATTTAATTTTTTTTTTCTAAAATGTTTATTTTTTACAACTATTTCTCCTGTTCTACAAATTGAGAAAACGAGTAACATGCCTGGAATTTTTAACCCAAAGATTTGAGAAAGGTGTAAGGGATAGGGTGGCAATATTAGTTGTGACAGATACAAAGGCAGGAGGGTTGTTTACACGGTTCGGAGATATGCTATCTCACCTTAGAGCTTTTTAAAACTCAATCTCCACCCTGCAGACATGCCTTTAAATGGGTGAGAAAACACGTTGACAATGCCCTGATAGCACCTGGCTCCAGATCCCGCTCTGAGGGAAAGGGAATGGTGTAACTGCTCACACTGCTCTGACTCACTGCCCCGGAGCTCAGAGGAAGAGAGGAGCCTTCGCTGCTTCTGCTACACTTGCAGCTGTGCTGCGTTTGTCTACAGCTCAATCAGCTCCAGGGACTTTCTCAGCTCTCGGGTGCTATACAAGTCTAACAGCAGGAAAGCAGCCAAGACAGGGGCTTAAACAACCCATATTTGTGCTGAGGAGGACGTCCCTCACTCACCCTTACCAACAAGAGCAACTATTTTGGCCAGCTCTGGCTCAGTTGCCTCTGGGAGTCTGGTAAAGCAAGACTCAGGACTGAGGAACTAAGGGCTCACTTCAACTTCAGGGCCAGTTGCTACAAATTCAGGGTGTTTTATTGTTACTACAGGTAAGCCTTCCCCTTCCTTTTTTAAGAGACAGGCTTGTTGTTTTGCGTGTAAAATCTTTACTTTATTCTCTTGCTGGAAGGAACTGTATTCCAATGTGTTTGCAACAGAGTATGCAACAGGTATGGAATGATTGCACCTGTTATCAAATATTGTGTATATTTTTAAAACAGACATGCAATGTTCCATATCTCTTATTGAGTTACTCCTTTAAATTTGGTAAGTTTTCTTTTCTTACAATTCTTTTTGAGTACATACTGTACAGATCCCCAAAATGTGAGACTGTAGCAGGATCTATCAGGTTGTGTAAGTCAGAAGAATCACAGATGTTTGTTTGTAGAAGGGGTTTGAACTTTGTTTCTGTTTATGGAATTATTTGAAAGTACATGGCATTGAATGGTCATCACTCAATACCCTTCTTGTTTCAAAATACTTTTTTTTTAACGCACTTGACATTGTAATTTTCCTGAAAACATTTTCTGGCAGCTTCATTGTGGAGCTTGGACTTCAAATAACAGGACACACCTTTTCCTAAGGAAGTGTGCATACACAATGCAATAGCTATTATAACAATAACAAAAAATTAACAAAAAGGTAAATAGTGTACTGCAGATTTGTCATTTAAGGAGCTAAGGAGTTGCCAAGAGAAATTGTTGTAGATACATATCATACATATGTTTCACTTGACAGAATGCTTTTCTGTTTCTACTTAATTAATATGGTTATAGCTGTGGTCTTCATATGCCCTTTTGAGCAACAGGAAAATAATACCCTTACCAATGCTTATGAGAATACATTGTACTCTTGTTTCTTTTTTAAAGAACAGAGGAGGTACTGTATTTATTGTGCAAAAATGTGCCGTGACAGCTGTCAGTATTTACAATATTGATCAGATGTATTTTAAGGAAATGTCAAAATGTCTAAAGAAGCAAAAATGGGATAATTCCCATTACGTGGTAATGTGCACATGCATCAAAATAAGCTAACTGCATAATAATCACAGTGACATGTACAACCAACACTGTTGTCTTCTTTTCCTTGTTCTCCATCTTCAGAGGTAACACAAGTATTTTTCTTGTTGATTTTTGTGTGCAAGTGCTTTGCATGTATTTTTAACTAGCGTACATGAGGCGACATGCTGTAAGATGTTTAAGAGGTAAATCAATATCACTTGTTGTCATGTTATTTCTGCGCCAGGAAGTTTATAGTTGCGGTCGGTGCCTGAGATCGGTGGCAGGTAACAGTCAAGCACTTTAAAGACAAAGTTCCTTACTATAGTGCTGAGTGATGGTCATCCTGACCCTTGCTGGTTAATTATTAGCAATATTTGCCTTTTCAAGAAATGTTCTGATGTTCCTATATAACATATAGTATGCATGTGGTCCTACAATAGATGTAATGTTGTCTGTATTTAGTACTCAGCAGCAGTAGAAATATAAGGGCATTTTTGTTGCTTGGCTAAACAAGACAATGGTAGCTACAAAGAACTTTGTGATTTGCAATTTAGGTTTAATAGGTGAATAGGTTTAATTTCCTTTGTCCACACATATAATGAGAGTTAAAGGTACCCATTTACTATTGCATCAGTTTCTTGCATAGTTCAATCAGGAGTTTGCATGATAAACCTTAGAAAACTGTAAAAACTCCAGCATCTTTATTATGAAAGAAAAATATATCTTTAACTTACTAGTAAATACATTTTAATATTCATTTTGACAAAACAAATATTATTGCTTTTTGTTTCTGTCATATACTTTCCTTTACAAGGTTTTTCCAAAGTGAAACATGTTATGGCAATCAGGGTGTTGTTTCTGTTCCAGTGAATGTGCATCACTTGATCAGAGTGGCACTGAACGCCGGAAAATTTTCCATTTTCACCGTGGAAAGTGGTATTCATATTGAGTAAGGTTTGCTCTAGTATGGCAGACAGGGCAAGACAGGAAGAAGAATATATAACATTCTGACATGGCGTTTTACAGGTCAAAGACTTATAGACACGATTCCGTAAACTGATAAATACCGATGCTGATTTATCAGCTTCTTCAGTGAGATCCTGTTTCTTTTCTGTTTTTTAAAACTCATTTTAAAGCTCAGTTTCTGACAATAATGTACATAAATCTGAAAAAGTGTTTTTCACCAGAAGTAAAATGAAGATGGCTCGCAATTGTAGCCAGGTTGTGTCACTACTTCTGAACTTCTGGCCATTGGAATTTCTTGATATCTATTTCAAACGCCTTTTTTTTTTTAAAGACTCGTCTCTCCTGCACCCACACCCTCTCAGGACAGAATGGGACAGCTAGACACACCTCTTCTGACACACCCACCCAGTCATTCATCATTAGGTGTCTCCTGACAGGAGAGCTAACACCAGCTGGAGGAGCAGTGCATTGCTGGTAATGCTGAAGGTTGCTGAACTCACAGCATTCTTGCAGTTGCCTTGCAGTGCCAGTGTAGACAGTGACAATCCATAAGTGACACAGCTCCCACTCGAGCTAGTGGTCTATGGTCTCAAGCATAGAGCTCATCCTGCACTCCAAGCAATGCCTTTCCTTGTTGAACAGGTAGAAAGCCTTTGCAACAAATTTCTGACTCAAGTCCCTTCTTCAATTACCTAAAGATTCTAAAACCAGAGGTTGCAGCTTGTTTTCACAAAGTTGTGGCTCCCTACCCTGAGAGCTCTGAACTTGAGAGTGAAGGATACTCTGGTGAAGTAGCTTGGTGATGTGTGGTGATCTTTTATATGAAACAATGAGTAACCTTTATAGAAGTTTAATTTCAACATCGTTAAGGTGGAGGTTCTTTAAAAGACCCATCTTATATAATAAGGGAAGGCATAGTTACATACTGTACATAGTTATTTTTGCCTTCCCAGATTAATGAATTAAAAGCGTTATTGTGATCCTCTGAGTCATACACACCCCACGCCCTGTTCTGGGCCATATTTTTGGCTTTTAAAACAGCTTGGAAATATTCATATTCATAAAATATTTCAGTATAAGAGACTTGGTTAACACATTTTTGTGACAAGCAACAGCAAACTTTTATCACCTGTTATCCTATTCAAAACATGAATATTTTCATGATCTGATTACTTTTTATTTGTATTACATTGTGAGGTGATAGGTCTGAAGTGGCTTGATTCACAGAATTGTTTGTTGTCCACTGGTGCCTATACTGTTTGCACAGCAAGTAAATGTGTTTTTCTTTATGTGATATTTGTTTTAAGTATGAAAGTGTGAGATCACAATAAGTGATCAAAACTAACTTTAGGTGATCTAATCACGTTTTAAAACTGCAGCCAAATTTGTTCAGCATACAAGCCCAAATTCCCATCATCAGTGAGTAATTTTCTACAAGCATTTACATTTTGATTCCAGAAAAACTGTTCTCTTCTGTAACAGCAGATGATGCGGATATTTCTGCATCGTGGAGTAGCATGTGAAGTCTACGTCTAACTGGTTTTATCTCCACTTCCATTTCCATAAACTAGATTAACTTGGTGAAGGGGAATGACAAAACAGTCTGACCATGTGGTGTACTAAAAAGACAGGATTTATTATCATGTACCAATTCACACATTTAGAATGATTTGTTTTAGGGTCAGGGTAGAAATTAGGGTACAATCTAGAGGTGGAAAACGTTGTGTAAAATGCACCTGGTTGCCTGTTATTTGGACCTCACATTCACAAAGGTGTGTGCCCGAAATCCTCAGAAGAGCTCCTTTCCCACAGGGAAGGTGTGGAACTGGCTGTATCAAAAGCTCTGGGCCAATATTTCTTGTGAAACTTTAATATTAACTTGTTTTTTAACAATAAGTAATTCAACACAGTACTTTCAAAGCATGTGTGGCAATACAATTGTGCTACACTTAACACCTTGCACATAAAACAAGCCTATTCTTATTCTGAGACACACCCTGAGCACATGTAATGTTTAATGGAACTACGAGGTGTTTATTTAGGAACAGTGTGGCCTAGATACTGTATTCTGTTCTTACAGATTCTCCACACTGATTTGTTTACCTATGAATAACTCTTTCTGGTAAAACAAAGAACTGGGTTTTACTGGCTGAGTACCTTCCCGATTGTTTGCTTATATGTTGTTGTGTTGTAGTGGAATGTTATCACAAATAGTAGAGCTACACATTCTGTGTAGAGCACACATTCACCAAAGGCAAAGCTTCTGTATTGGTAAGCTCAAATAAAAATCAGGAAATGGACTGCGCACTGTGGGAGAAACACACACAAATACAAAAAAGCATGTGAATGAAATTTTGGTTTGCAAAAGCATGTGAATTAAAATACATGGAAACCACTTGTCTTGAGTTGGTGTGGGCTCTGGCAGTTGTCCGTGTTTCCGACAAGCACTCCAACCTCTGAAAAGCCATTCTGATCAAGTTTGACCAGCTATTCTAGACTGTCCTTTTCTCTAGGTATTGACCCCAGTCAATGGAGACAGCAATTCCACTTTGCTTGTGAGACACACGCAACAGAATATGCAATATTTGTGCTAATAGTTGAAAACAATACAATAAATTGTACGAGTATGATTCTAATCTGTAATATAAAACCCAGCACAGCCCAGAATACCAGGCCATTTAGCTTGTGGATGCAGACAAACATGCTCCTAATATTTTATGACTGCTTTCACTGGTCCCCCTTTTATTTTCCTTGCACAGTCTCATGAGACTAAATGTGCTGCTAAAGTAGTTTAATTCCATAAGGCATGTATGCACTGCGCATTTTGGGAAACAAAAATGCTATACATGAATCACGCACATTAGTCTCCTTGAGTGCAAGTGGAAAATACATATTTAATGATATAATAGAGTAATTCTGGAATGTAGAAGGAATTTTAATATCAGACCAATTACAATGCAGCGTTCCATCTCCAGAAAAGAATTATAACAGTTAATACTGTCTGCTGCTGGCTCTGTTTGTTTTGGTGCCTTACCTCATCATTGACATTGCTCCAAGTTCTGACACATGTAAATTGTTTCAGA